AGATTTTTACCAAAAACTAATCAAATCTGCACATATGTTCAGAGCATCTATGTATCAAGTTTCATCAAAATCCAATGAGTGGTTCTTTAGATATCAGTGGAAAAGTCATAAAACAGCTAAAAATTAGCTAATTATCATGCAAATTAGGTAATTAACGAGCATGGATTTTTACCAAAACCTAATCAAATCTGCGCATTGGCCCAGAGCATCTATGCACCGATGTATGGTTCTTGAGATAGCAGTCGGACACACATACACACACACACACACAGACACACTAACTGCAAAGACTCCCATTATGTGCTTCGCACATGGGAGTCAAAAACGGCACTTGTACAAATTTCACCATAACATGTATTATCTTTGAGTAAAATGAGTGCCATTTAATAATTTCAGTTGGGTACTGACTACTGTCTCAACCTTTAAACAAACTTTGAAGCTTAATTAAGCAACTAGTTTTAATTTTACTGACTTTTTATAATAGTGAAAAACAGTATAATGTTCAAGATTCATTTATGGGTTACTGAATGTTCATTTATGTGAATCTTCATTCCCTTATTTTTTATTCGTAATTATGTTTATATTATTTGTAAACTAAATATTAAAGTTTTTCTTAATATAACATATCACTGTGTATTTTATTTATTATTTTCATGTTTTCATTCCAGTAACTTAGTATGGTACGCTTCAACAAACAACTGATAATGGTTTTATGTACCAAATTAGCTTTGCCATTTTGCCAACAGGGTATGATCAATTCCTGATATTTCCTTTACCTTTGTTGCACTTTGTCTATTTGATCTGGGATTTAATTTTTAACAATCCAAGGTGACAAATTACTTACTCATCAAATTTAAGGGTACTGGTGTAAAGTTTTAAAATGCAACAATACAGACTAATTTGTGGCTTGTGTATTTGGAATAAAAAAGAAAAAAACATCAAAAGTCTCATGTTTGGTCTTCATGTGTCAGTAGCATGTAATCCAACAAACCAGGACTTGGTCTAGCCTAGATTTTACCCATCAAGCTTTGCAAACGTTTAGTTTTTATCTTGTAGTTCAGGGAAGATAATCAAATTTACCTAAATTTTATAAAAGCCCTTTGCATATAGGTATGCTAATTTTTGTGTTCAAAAAACTGTTATTATGGTTAAAACTGGCTGCTGCGAAGCTTCAAATCATGACATGACATATTTCAACAAAGTATATACTGTCTATCTATTAGTGATCCAAATAAATGATTTATTCAAATACATCTGATCAACGAATATATGTGAAACATATAATTGGTCATCAGAACATCATACAAACATCATGCAAACACATTAAGGCAATACAAATAGTACGAAAAGCTTATTTATATAGCTGTTGATGAAGCTCACTGGCATGCATTTGAAAAAAATAAACATTTACATCTTTCATGCAAATATTTGGACAGAGGCAAAAACTGGAAAGATCATTTCAGAAGATGTTGGCTTATAGCAGTATATGTGCTTGATATCAGAATGTGCTGCAAACTATACATTTGATACCGGTATCACTGTAAATGTAATAGCTCAATTTATAGTCAACAACCTGCATGATTTGGGTATATTATGTCATAATTCTTCTACTTACTGTAACACATATTATTTGTGTTACTAGTATGTAGTGTGATAGAGTTCACAAAGCCTTAATCCATGAGATTCAAGACCCAGTAACTATGTGACAATGCAACCATTGGCAGAAAATTTGTTTCTTTGGCCACACCTAGATATTTAATAGAAACGTTAGTGACATGCAGCATTGTTGTAGGTTGGGGAAAAATTGGTTAAAAGTGAACTTTTCTGTGATGAACTTTGAGTTGAGTTGAGTTGTCCACTTATAATTCAAGTGATTTGGGTTTCTACGTCTACGATTTCCTTCACCACAAATTAAACCAATTACTAGTATTGTTTTACATTATATTCATTCATTTAGTAAACTTATAGTAAACTTATAAGTATGAGATTTACAGACATAAATATTGTTTTCAGAGACATGCAGTGTTCACCATGTGTGTTGACTATGTGCATGTCACGCGTCATCTCTACTATCACCTGTTTAGAGCTATAAGATTTGTTTTACAAGCAGTGAGTACAACTACAACTGACGGGAAATGGTCAATACATTATACCATATCATCATCATGTCTGACCAAGCAACCATGAGGTATTCTCACTTGTACAAAATGTTTATATGGGTGCTTCCTCATGCCGCATGATGTAGTTATGGTTGCATGGGATCCTGCCACCTGATATTATTGAATAATAGCCTCAATGGCATTACTTATCATGATGCATTTCACAACACTCTGGCTTTCAGTGAATGTTTTGAGTGTTCCAAGGTCAAATGTCAGAGGTCAGCTTGATCTGTATAGTGGTCAATAACCTGAGCCTCACCTTCATGACTACTATATGCATTGATGGGCCAAAAGACATTAAATAAAGATGGTGATCAAGCTTTTCTGCTAGTTAAAAAAATTGAAGACTAAATGCTCTACTTGAATAAATCTATGTAAGCCCTTACATGTGCCAAGGAGATGGTACTTCCACCAGGGGATCAGTCACCCAGATGGGTGGATCAACTGTCTGCTTTCATCATGACTATGAATGGAGAAATGAACCACCTCATTTGCAAGAATCCTCAGTATGCTATTAAAGCCAAATATGTATCACAAAATCCCTTGTCTGCTAAGAGAGCATAAGCTGCTGCTAGAGTGCAGCTGTTCTGGTGTTGTTCCTGCATATGTTTCAGCAACACACTCACCAAGGTCATTACCTGTTAGAGGGTCATTATTTTTGGATTTATCGGAGAAGAAGCTCTGTGAAAAAGTACAGATATACACTAACCAGGTTAGCAGCCCCTTTTAGACTGCTCTAAAAATCAAATTGCAAGGGCTTAGTCTTTTCCACGAAACGAAACGAAACGAAACCCAAACCCTAACCCGCATTTTTTTTTTCATTGGCCCAATAATATCTGAGAAAATTTCACACTGTGAAATACGGACGTGACGATGTTTGAGGTCGTTCAAAATCTAAGGTTAGGGTTAGGGTTTGGTTTCGTTTTATTTTGTTTCGTGGAAAAGACTAAGCCAATTGCAAGACAAACTGAGATGCATCATTATCCCACCATAAGTCAATTGCAAATATAAATAAATCAACAAAGACATGTCTGAGAAACATTTGATAACAACTTCAAGTCTTGCAATTTGTATTTTATTGAACAAAAATGGTTACCAGTCAGTCAAAAGATCAAAAAATAAAATGATGTGCATGTCTGTCATTATTACTATGTCCAAAAATCAGAAAGACAAACATGCAGAAAGACAGAACAAAAAGTTCCT